TGGAAACTGACTGCCCTAGGAGTTACAGATCTAGGTTGGCATGTCCCTCTCTCTGCTTGCTGCTCTCCCTCCTAGTGGATGTCCTCGGGACTGTCCCTTCATCTATGGGTTGTTTGCTCACAGCTTCACCGTCTGTCGAATGGAGAGGGAATCTGCCTCCCACAATTGTGTGGAGTGAGGGTGTAAAGCCTGTGTAGGCCCTGCACCCCAACCACACCCCAGCACAGGTGAAGGTGACAATTCTGCCAAGATGCCACATCCTTGAGATGTCTCAAGTGCAGACTTTCTACATCCCAGCTCTCCAGGCCTGGACCCTGGAAATTCTTCACCTCCTTCCTGCCAACCCTCCTAGCCCTAGGAGCCTGGCTTCCCAGTGGAGCAGTCCCTGACACAGAAAAGGAAGTAATTAGCATATTCACCAACTGAATTCTTTCCACTCCTCTGTGAACATAATTTGTCAGCGCCCAGAGAGAGGGCTCCCCTACCAGCCATGCCAGGCGGATGGTGAGGCTCAGGGAATTGTGGAATCTCACGCTAATTAAGTGGAAGATGCTCTGGGGGAAACAGGCTCTGTGTTCCTGCTGCTCTGAACACATCACATTAAACAGAGAAGCAGCCTCTGGAAAATGTGGAGAAGGCATGGAGGGATGTGAATGACAAAGATGATTAGAAGGTTGGAAAATGAGATGGATGTGAGATTAAAGGTTAAGGCAATTGAAGTATGTAGCCTGGAGGAGAAAAAGGCATGAGGGGCTGGCAACTTAATCATCCCTTCCTGTGTTGTAAAAAGAATATTCCCCTTTGGGTCTTTCCCTCCTCCAGGCCTGTATTCTCTTGGCCTCATTCCCTTTATCTCATCCATCTTTTTGTTCTATTTACTTGTCAATTCATTCAGACCTTTACTGAACACCCACTCTGTGCCAGACACTTTGCCAGATTCTCGAGATGAAAAGACAGTATCTGCCTTGCAGGTCAAGTGTCAGGAATGGGCCCATAAGCCCAAACTGCCTAGACTATAGGACTGGAGGACTACAGGACTACAGGCCCCGTCTAAGGGACTGGAGGTAGGCAGAACTGAGGCTTCAGTTGCACTGGGAGTCCAGGAGCAAAGCGGGCCTCTCAGCTCTGTCTGGGCTTCAGGGAAGGTTTCCTGCAGGAGATGGTGCCCAAGTGGAATCTTGAAGAATGAATCAGTGAGCCAGGTGAGGACAGGTGGGAAGGGCATTCCAGGCAGCAGGAGCAGCCTGAGCAAAGGCCCAGGAAATAAAATGAAGAGCATATATAAGCAACTACAAACTGCTAGGCTTTACTGGAGCAAAAAGTAGAGACCCATGTGGTGTGGCGTATGGGTCAGAGGGCCCAGATCCCAAGGCCCTGGACTCTGTGGTAGGAAATGTGGGCTTCATCCAGAAACAGTGCTCCCCGGAGTGTTTAGAATGGTACAGGTTACTTGCAGTGTTAATAGCTGTCCTCCCAAAATAAAAGGTGTGTCACGGTCAAATAAGTTGAGTGACACTGAGTTAAACCAGTGGTTCTCAACTGAAGGGCAATTTGTAAAAGGGGACATTTGGCAATGTCTGGAGATATTTTTGGTTGTCCTAATTTTGGGGTGGGGTGCTGCTGGCATCTAGTGGGTTGAGGCTTGGGATGCTGCTCATCATCCTACAATGCACAGGTCAGCGTCCTATAAAAACCTCTGCCTCCTACCCCCAGGGCTCCCACGGCCCCCGCACAGGCCCCACTGGATCATTCATCTCTGTACTATTAGGGTCCGTCTGCCAGTTAGTCTCCCCAGTAGACTGTGCAGGTCGAAATGGCTGGGTTTAGGTCGTTAGTGTTTGGGGGAGGGAGAAGGAAAAATGAGAGACTTTCTGGTGGGGCTGGGAGAGAAGGCAGCTTTGGGTAAAATCTGACTCATGGGGGATACCTCTGCCAGCAGGATTGGTGGGTGATTCTAGGGGGCAATCTTTCCATCCTACCAGCCCCCGTCTGCTGTGGCTAGGGGTGTAGGAATCAAAACCAGCTCTAAGAAGCTGGCCAGATCAAGGTCAGGGGCCTACTCTGTGCTAGGCCGTGGGTGGTGCTGAGACAAGAATCTCCTATGACCAGATTCTTCTTTCCTGTTTTATTTTTCTCCACAGATTCTTTTAACATACTTATACCTATTTCAAAATTTATTTGCCTGTCTGTTCTCCTCACTCCCTTTCCTGCCTCAGAATATCAGCCCTGTAAGGCAGGGCTTTTCATCTGTATTGTTCACTGCTTTATTCTCAGCATCTAGAACAGTGCCCGGCACATAGTATGTGCTCACTTAAAATGTGTTGAAGAGACGAATGTCTGAGCCACCCCCTGCCATACTTGGAGTGTCTGGGTGCTGGGGCCAAAGGCTACCACATGTAGTCCTTTCTTCTCTGCACCAGCGGGAATGGGGCACGTCCCAGGAAGCACCCTCCTACGCCATGCAGCATTCTCCACTGTCTAGAGGCTAGCCCCCAAAGCTGCTGTAGGGGTGGGCAACACTTGGGAACTTTACACGTACACCCTGGTCTTCCCTGAAAGAGCGGGAATGGTGGACTAACCATTAGCCATGGGAGGAGGAAGCAGGATAGGGTGATGGAAAAGGCCCAGCAACCTGGCAGCCAAATGAAACTGTAGCCAGCTGACAGGACAGCGCCATGAATGAAGGCCTCACTGCCTCCCGGAACCACTGCCAAGCACTGTGACACAGGGACAGTCGCACCCGAGTGCGCGGCCGTGGAGGAGCGGCCCACGCACTGGCTGGGCTTCAGTCACAGCCGCTGCCTGAGGAAGTCCATTCTTCACAGCACAGGGCCAACAGGGCGCTCCCCGATTACACAAAGGGAGCGAGGACCAAAGCACGCAGAGCAAGTGCCTACTGGTCCCCTTGGAAACAAATACAAGGAAATAAAAACCCGTGGGTCGAAGCCAGGGTTGCCAGGTTATTTTGTGTCAATTGGGGGATCTGTGTACCCCTAAAGCTGTGGCCCATGGGGCCTCTGTTAAGCTTGGGCTCATAGCCTAGGCTATGGGGAAAGCAAGGCTATTAGAAACCTGGGTTCAGATCCCAGCTGACCCTCCAAGCTGAGGTTTCTAGGCTGCGGAGGCCAAAGACCTGACACTGTTCTCCTGAGCTTTGTGGCCTCAGGTAAGTGATCCTTAGAAAGTATATGTGGGTGAAGGGAGGGTTTATCTGCTCTGTTAACCTAACCGGGTTATTGGGAGAATCAGAAAGATGGGGCAAGTAGAAGAGCCTTGAGAATGTAAATAAAGCCGGAAGTGCAGAAAGGCACGAGGGGGTGCAGCTGTGTCTCTCCCCAGGGAGGGGTCATGCACAGGAAACAACAGCAAACCCCTGGGGTGGCCTGTAGCTACCTGCTGAATCCAACTGGCTTTCATGGCACATCCCCCTCAGCAGGAGATACCTTTTCAGACCTTGAGGTGGTTCTTAGAATCCCACTGAAGGCCCCTCAGTGTACAACCTCGAGGAGGCCCAGAAACACAGTTCATTTGGGTTATTTTGAATGATTTCTTTAGGCAGATAAATTTATAGTCAGCTCATATATATATATGACATTTTCCATTTTTTAAAACTAATGCAAATTTCATCCTTAAATAACACCAGAAGATAAGCATCATTATGCTCATGTTATATAGGGTATAATTTTAGAGCCTCAGAGAGGTTGGGTGGGTTTTCCAAAGTCACACAGCCGGTTTGCATCAGACGTCTTTGAGTCTAGGCCTCTGGTTGTAGGTTAGACTGATGCCTGGTGTGCGGACATGACTGTCTCTCCTTTCAGTGTCCTCTCCACTCCTTCTTTTTTAGGGTCTTGGTTTGGGGCCCACTTTTATTGCTTGCATTGTTTAACCACCTTCCCTGACAAATTTAAGCAGAACTCTTTTTCTGAAGAGGGCAGCCTGGAATATGAAATTCTCCTGGGAAAAGCTAATGTTCCGAGAGCTGAGCCTGGACAGCTTCCTCGGCGGTGACACGGGGGTACTGAGCACGGGAGGGCACCTTACATGGTGCGAACCACACCTGCCCTGAGGACCTGCAACCCCGAGTAAGGCAGACGCGACTATTCACAGTCGCCTGAGAAGGTGGTTACGGTACATCTCCTAGGTATGAGATGATGGACGCTCTCTCCTTAAAAGAAGTGCAGTTCACTTACCTCCCTGTGAACAGCTTGTGTCTGGATTTCAAATCCTGAGGGAAAAAAACAGGGGAAGAGAACATTAGTTTATAATAAAGGTTAAAGTGCTTTCAGATTTTTAAATGACACTTTACATATTACCAATCAAGTTCACGTCCATTACCACATTTAATCCTTACAATAGTTCTGTGAGAGTAGTTACAGCCCTATGAGGTATTATTATTCCCATTTTAAAGATGGGGAAAATGAGGCTTAAAACTGCACAGATGATTTGCCCAAGGTCACAAAGGTGATACATGGTAGAGATGGAAAAAAGACCTGGTTCTTTTATACACAAGTTCAGGACTTCACATATGACAACATTTTTTACCTATGAAGTGAGAAGTTAATTAACAGTAAATTCAAAGGTTGATTAGAGCTTCCAAGGAGAATTCCTTTAATCCCTTGTAACATTATTACTTATCTCTTCCTCAAGAATCATAACATCAGGCTAAAGGCATCTAATCAACCTTCACTACAAACCTACGATCTAACATCCTAGCAGGCTCTGTAACGAGAAGACGGAGCCTCGCCAGTCACGGCTCAAGGCCTGGGCACTGCCTGGGACTCTGCCTTTAGCGTGTCCAGGCCGGGTTAGTGTTGCTCCAATGAGCATTCATCCAGCGGCGCTTGGTTGGAGCCCAGAGGAGTTTAAGAAGTGTATATCATAGTCCCCACTTTCAAAGAGTTTATGATTTGGTAGGAAGGTGAGATTTGTTATGAAATCTTTGAAAGGCAATGTATAAAACATAATGGAGTTAAGTGCCCATCTGTTTGGTATACAGTCTAAGAAGGCTTCACGAAGGATGTAGGTCTTGAGAAAGGGTAGCATTGGAGGGGGAGGAAAGAAAAAGCGTTTCCATTCTGGTGGAGGACGAAGTGCCAGTGGCAGGCTGGTGTGGAGATGCACGGTTCCCAGCTCCACACCCCCCGCCCCCACCCCGGACACCCAGCACTGGTCATTCCGCACACGTTACCTGGGACCTGGCACAGGCAGGTTTAACGCATCTCTGAGCCTTTATACTTGCTATTACCTCTTTGGGAAATAAACTCCCTCCCTGGTTCCTAACAGCCCACAGACCGGTACCAGTCTGTGTCCCTGGGGTTGGGGACCCCTGAATTAAGAGAATTAAATCATTTCCACAGGATAATGGGACACAATTAGACCTTCAAGCAGGGTGTGTTACAAGATTATTATTTTCCTTTTTTTAAAGAAAGAGGGCTCTGATGAAATGTAGAGATGGATCAGGGGAGAGCAAGACTTGGAAGCCAGGTTTTAAGGGTGAGGATGAGAGAGTGGGGGCTGCACTAGCAGGGGGGTCTGTGGAGATGCAGAAACAGAGAAATTTGAGAGTGCTGAGGAGTTAGAATGGACAGGACTTAGTGACAGCAGGATTGGCGGGTGGCTGGTGGTTCTGGTGATGGGAGTGGAGGAGAAGGAGCCAAGGATGAGAACGCCAAGGAATCTGGCTTGGGAAACTGGGTGCATCCCAAATGAGACATGGGAATCTAGGGGAAGAGATGCAGTTGGGCTGAGAGTAGAAATAATGAATTATTTCCAGAAATTTTTTTATATGTAGAGTCTTAATTGTGTGTGTGTGTGTGTGTGTGTGTGTGGAAATAATGAATTATTTCCAGAAATTTTTTATATGTAGAGTCTTAATTTTGTGTGTGTGTGTGTGTGTGTACATATACACAGATATAGATATATTATGCTTTTTCAACTAATGTAACAATATCTTCCCATGTTATTACAGACTCTTCATAAACATTATTTCTAATAAGGGGCAAGCTGTGAATACACACACAAGCTGTCAGAGAAAATGAGTCAACTATGCTGATTGAAGAGGGTCTCCCAGGCTACACACGTGCAGGCCATCAAAGCATGTTCCCACAGAGGCCTGTTCTGTGGTGAGTGATACAAATAACACATGAAGAGCCTATGGTTGTACCCAGGAGGCCCCAGGAAACACAGTACCAGCTAGGATGTGGCCTAGGTTATAAATAGCCTACAAAAGGTGCAAGGGACCCAAAGGGTAGTCTTGGCCACAGGGGATGGAGGTGGGGTGGGAGGAAGATCTGTGACCATGACGGAGGTCTGAATAAAACTTCCCAAACCAGCTGGGAAGGGAAAAGGAGACTGTGTCTTTGAAGGTATTTAGTAATCTCACAAGCTGAATACAAATTTAAGGAGCCATCATTATTATCCATACTCACAACCATTAATTTAAAACTGAGGAAAGTTTCCTAACATTCACTTACAAAGAAACGGGTGGAAATGGGACTTTTTACTATATTCTCCTTTGTATCTCTTGAATCTTTCAACAATAACTTAAAAATTTGTTAAATCTATGCAAACCAATTCTCTCTTATTCATTAAGAGTTGAGATGGAGAAACAAGTCAGATCACGAGGATTTTTTGACTTGTCCAGAAAGAAATCATAAAAAGAAAGAAAACAATTGCATTTAACAGTGGTTTTATTCATTTGAAAAGCATGATGCCCATTACTAGAATGACATTAAATGATCACATACTGAGTTAAAAGAAAATAAGCCAGAGTGGCTTTGAGGGAAAGGGCATGGCAAGAGTGAACAGGACTTACAGTCCAGTTAGACGCAATCTCTTGGTGCCTCAATTTTTTCAACTGTAAAATGGGTATTAATACAACCGAGCATAAAGAATCATTATGAGACTCAATTGTACCCAACTGAGTCTTCTGTGAAGGCAGCTAGTATCAATGACTTGTAACACTATACATGTCTACTGAATCTTAGAAATACCAACTTTGCACATGCATCCACAGACATGCTTGTGACCACAAATAACAAATAAACCTGATTACAATGTCTAAGATAAATAAGGGCTATTTGTCTCATTATATATTAAGAACTCTCTGGAAATAAGCATTCCTGGGCTACAACAGGGTGACCAACCCTAGGATAGGGTCCAGGTTTGCTCAGGACCATTCTGGTTTTGGCAGCAGAAGTCCTGCATTTCAGGAAACTCCTCAGTCTCGAGCAAACTAAGAGGTTGCCCAGTCTAGCAATAACGGTCATCAATGATGCCACCAAGAACCAAAATACTTCCTTTTTTTTTTACTTGGCCATTCTGACTGTTGCTTGTTGCCTCATGGTTGCAAGATGGCTATTGTACCTCCAGGCATCCTGTCTGCATGCCAAGTAGGAAGAAAAAGGAAGGCCAAAGGATCAAAGGCTTTCTCTTAGAGAGGCTTCACCTCTCTAAAGTTTTCTGGAAAGAAAACTTTCCTCAAAGTGTTACATCTCGCTGGCCAGAACTGTTTCACATGGCCACCCCCAGCTGTAAGAACAGCTGAGAAAACTGAGTGATTCGTTTCCAACCCCACAGAGAAGAAGGCAAGGGGAGAAGGTGATGAAAGGCTTTTGGGTGGTTGGTCCACAGTGTCTGCCACACCCCCTCCCTCTTTACTACATCTAGCCAATGCTGAGCACCTGCCAGGTGACAGGCACTGTGGTAGGATCTGCAAAGGAGACAATGAATAAGACACAATCCCCCCACCAAGTAAGGGCATGGTCTGGTGCAGGCTGACATGAGACAGAGGTGACTATGTCAGAAGGCAGCCGTGAGAGAGTGGGAAGTGCTGTGCTGGCAAATCTTGCCCAAGAGGCAGGTGGGAATGACGTGGTTGGTGGGTTAGCCAGGGGACAATGAATACGATGCACCTTGCGAGGACAAACCCAAAGATGTGAGGATGGGACTTGGCACCAAGAAAGTTTCAGGAAAAAGAGCAAGTGGGTGTGAGAAGAAGGAATGTGTGTATAGGGGTAAGTACTTTTCATCTCTGAAGATGACCTGCCTTTGGGGCCTCTGGTCAGGACTATGACATTCGGGAATGTGCGCATAGCAGGTCTGAGTAACTGTGGAGTGCACGCTGCAAAGAGCTTAGGAACATCTCACAGAGACAGGACCTCAGTAAATAAGACTGCAAGCCAACCGTGGAGAAAGAGAAGATCAAACCTGTGTCCTCTCTGAGAATCCTGTTGGGTGCCTGAGCCCTCACTTTACCCTTGTTTTCTAACCTTTCAGCCTCTGAAGCCAGTCCCCACCCCTTCGCTTCCCAGCTTCTCTGCTTCCCTAGCTCAGTTGCTGGATCCATCTCCAGGCTGGGTCTGACCAGCCTCCAAGCCAGGCAGTGCAGAGGCTGCAGCCTCCGTTGCCAACCAGGGCCAGTGCCTGATGCCAATGACCTGCCTGATTTCTGGGAGAGCAGCCACATGCCCTATCCCCACTGGTGCTGGCCCTGGTCACAGTACAGCTCTTGCCTTAGTCTGCTCTCAGGATGCAGCTGAGAGCCACTGCAGCAGATCTGTAACTGTCCTTCAGATGCCTTATATTATCCCACAGAAGCATCAGAAAACAAACCTACAAGGTGGAAGGAGTTATTCCCAGGTAGTGGGGGACAAAATGAGGCTCAGGGAAGTTAGGCAAACTACTGGGGTGACACAGCAGCGCAGTGGTAGGAGAGGGATCCAAACCCGGGTTGGATTCTTATGGTCCCTGCTTTCTCCACTGTTTCACATTATTTCTCTATACAGAGCCGAGCTCCCTCCCCGCAGTCTCCTTGCCCTGCGAGCTTGTCTGTGCCCACGCCCCTGGCCCTGATGGCATCTTCTGGTTTTGATTGCCAGAGACCATGATGAAACTTCATTTATTCCTCCACTCAACAAATATTTATTGAGTAACTCCTAGACGCCAGGCACTGTGCTGGGCCACTGTGTTATTTTCTAGCTGCCTAAATTTGTCCACGGCTTGGACGACTGACCTCTAAGGACATCAGCTGTCAGACGTTGCTCTGTCCTCAGGGCACCATGTGTAGTTCTCTGTAGCCAGCTCAGACCGCCCCAGGGGCACGGCTGGACCCCCTCTTCTTCTCCTCTGTGCATTAATGGCTGCTCTGTCCTTGCTTCTCGATCTTTCTTGCCAGACCTGTTTGCAGTCTAGGCTTAGCATAGTCGTATCTGAGCCTGTTCCAAT